GAAGCTTGTGGACGTAAGAAAGGAAGAGATGCACATCGGGGTTTTCTTTTGTAGCCTTCCCCATACCAAGAACAGAGTGATCGATAGAGGTACAAGTTTTAACCGGGTGCCATATGCAGTACTAGGGTTGTTGGTGAGTGTATACAGGGCTCCTTTAGGGTTGGAAGGCACATGCGACAACTCTGTTCCAGCATCCAGTTCGAGCGGAATGCAAGGACGGAGGGGAGAAGTGAAGAGTTTCCAGAGATACCAAAAATCATTCATAGTCTTCCCCTCGCGCGAAGTTATGACGATAACGGTTCTAACTGTCATAAAGTTAAGGCCCCGATATGATTGTCGTCAGTAGGCGGTCAGGTACTGTCATGATTAGCACCGCGACTGAACTACCAAACGCAGTCTTCGGTGCTGAGGAAAAGTCAGTGCAGGAAGTGGATCAGCATACTTCGGGATGGACAGCTGGAGTAGTTGCTCTCTACCCTTAAGTCTGGCAGTGCCGCCATCTTGCTTTTGGGCTTGGACTGCCCCACACCCCAAATGCTAATGCAGCCGGGAAGTCAGGTCTTCAAGCTTTCGAAGCAGGGATCTGTCTTCGGTCTCGGAAGATCGCGATGAGGGATTAGGATCCTTCCGGGTTCTGGGACGGCTAAGCGATGGAGAATGCCTGCTCGGATGCGAAGCCGGCATATTGCACAGCAGCGGCGGTTCACTTCTCCACGCCGTAGCTCGCAACACTTCCTTTCCTTTGGCAAGTCTGCCCCGAAGTCGCGCGAAGCCAAAGGCGACCTCTTGGAGCCCTGGAATCACCTGAAATCTGCCTGATTCAACCCATTTCACAATCCGAGACCTTTCGATTTCAATCCCCGAATAACAGAAACAAGACTTCGCGTGCTCAGGGTTTCTTTTCAAGAGCAGAAGAGCTTGCATTCAGAAGGGCGGCAGAGAGCAGAAGCCACTGCGGCCCTTCCATAAGTATGAAATTTATGGTGCCGCAGGGGCTCAGCGTTTTGGATCTAACTATATATCTACAGATGAACTGTTCTGCCGACACCGAGACTGCTCTCGACGATGGAAGTCCAATATTGACCTAATCACGTCCTGAGAAGAGAACCTACATTCTGCCCCACACGAAAATTATTAGGTCATAGGGACTGCGAGAATCATGAGCATTTCGACCTTCTTCGACCGCTGAACTTGAGACTGACAGTTTCAGCACCCCAAAGCTCGTTTCCAATGATTAAGGCCCCTATGTTATAGTACCGTACCCTTATAAATCCCTTGTAGTATCCCTTTAAAGGATGTTGCGGCCGCTTGTGGTTCGGGGCTCAAGTATCGGCTTCGCCTGCAAAAGTGAAAGATCGAATCGCTGAGCTTCCGGTTTCGAGTTACAAGCGTTCGCTTTCGGCCAAGCCGAATGCCAATAAGTTTCGTGGATCTTTTGGGCATACTAAGATGGTGGCAGCTTCCCACAACGAATAGCATATGCGCCATCTTGCTCCAGTACAAGCAGTTCTGGTAAAAAGACAGACAAGCTTGCCTTATCGAGAGGGTACATAAACAAGGCTGGGGCTTACTTGAGGTCTTCTTGCATTTTCTCGCATGTATGAAGCAAGGAACTATTTCCGCATTACCGCATTATGTAAAGCAGCAGCCTTGCCAACATTCTCGAAGGGACAGGAGCACATGGACTTCAGACTAGCAGCAGCAGCAGCCGTCGTCGCTTGTTCTTCTCATTCTATGTGTGTGTTTTCCTTGCGATGCTCATAGTTGAGGGTGTATTTATGGTTGCAGTTGTAGTGCTGGTGGTGGTGGCGGCGGTGGTGGCCATGGTGGTTGTTGTTGTGCGGGCGATCAAGCAGTTTAAGGATGCAGACGTGGTAGAGGTAAGTAGCACGTCACACATGCTCTGAAGGTAACACGGTGCTAGTACCAGATCGGACCCTGGCCTTGGATCGCAAAGAAAGCCGTCTGCCGACATTAGCAGCTAGTCCTTGAGCCGGTCTTTGGGAAGCTCTCCACATCATGTGGCTGGGACGATACAACCGCCGGCATCCCTTCATCATGTTCAGCTTCAGAAGCTTTTACTTTCAGCACTTCCGCAGCATCCTAAACCCTGAAGTTAGGCCCTAAACCCTATAAGCCCTATAAGCCCGCAATGCTATAATCCCTAATCCCTAGTTGGCTTTTTTGATTCCAAGCTGCCTCAGCTGTCAAGGCCGCCCGCCCGTCCTTTTGCCGCTCTTGCACGGTTCTACATACCGTGCAGCGGTGACTCCGGGGATTCGCGGGGCCTGTCAGTGGCTGGTGCCCTATCCGGAAGTTGACTTTTAAGATCGCTACTGTATCAAGTCTTGGACTCGGTGTCTGGGCGACACATTTCAAAACAATATATATATATATATAATATAAGGTTATATGATTCAAAAAATGTAACCACAGGTTATGAATGCTGCTGAGCATGCTCATCTCTTCAGAGCATCTCCTGACTTGAGAACGTTTCAAGACTTGGAACCCCTGCCTTTTCTGCAGCAGGCTTTTGCGGAGAAGCGAATTCAGTGCGGCCCCGGTATCCATGGGGGTTTTGGCTCTTCCTTGGAGTGACTTGGGGGAACCAGGCTTTTCGGGCTTGGTCTTCTTGTGTTCTCATAGTCGAGAAGCTGCAATTTGGCTGGTTGCAACACTCAGAGCAACTCTCAGTGGCTCATCTGGCCAGCTTGGAGGCTTCGGATGTAGCAATGCTACAATTTCCCAGCTCTGCAGGATCCGAACAGGGCATGTCTTGCCCGGAAGGACCCGTCACATCCAAACCCGAAGCCCTGAACCCTGAGCATGCCAGGCGTTCTTCGGATGGCGGTCATTGCTCAAACAAAACCTTTTAGGCGTGAAGGAAAACAACCGGCAAACCAACGCCATGGCTCGACCTGATACCATTATGGCATGATGAAGTACCAGGTACCATATGATGTACTATACAGCATAATAAGATATGCTATCATATACTATGCGAGCTGTATGAGCCCCTCGATGCATACGCAAGCTCCTCTTGGAGTTTCCTGATGAATTCTGACTACCTACATAGAGTCTTACAGTAACAACTATGAATTCACGATGACTTGATGACTTATTATTTTCATCTTTGTGCCATTCCTGGTTCAAGTCGCATCAAGGGGTTGTTGCGAGTCTTTCTACCGGGCCCGCACGTGGCATCAATGTTTCTCCGGGGATCCAAGTGCATGGAGCCCGAATTTCACCCCGGTCGCTACTGAGTGTACTTATCTACATGACATTCCTTCCTAGCAGCTTCACGCACGTATACTCTACCGTGCACGCAGCCGCAAACTATACACAAGACACACAAGGCCCGCACACACATGCATGCATGCATGCATACATATATACTTACTTACACACACACACTTACATCAATAAATACAAACATATCATATGTACATATCTACAAACGCATACCCACATACATACATCCACGCACACCAGAACAGAACAGAGCGAATCATAAAATAGCATACATACATACATACATACATGCATATGTGTGATGTGTGTATGTTTATGCGGCATAGTTTGTACATGTATCAGCATCCATATTTGCAGCTGTTGTTCGCTAGCTGGGGATTTCCGGTAAAGCAGGTCTGCAGGTGCACGCCCCAGGATGTGACGCGCAAGACAGCTATTTTAGGTTTTCGCCAGCGTGTGTTTGATTTACGCAGGTACTGATACTTGTTTTCATACGCGTGCTGGTCGCTTCTTTGTGCGTTCCAATTAAGACGCCTTGTGTCTGTTTACACAGACTTGTGCATGCGCGCGCGTGAATATCGACGTAAAACACTACGCATGCATGCATACATGCAGCGATGGAGGGACGGATGGATGAACAAGTCAGTATGTGTATGGATGCATGCATGTACGTGTGTATGTATGTATGTATGTATGTATGTATGTTCTGTTCTTTTTACTGTCAGCACTGTTGCGCGCCTGCCTTGTTGTTTGACCGCGAGACCCGGGTGTGCCGGGCAATTCATGGTTTCGGAAGGTCGGGCAGAAGGAGTTACACGCAGTGTACTTCTTCATGGTATCCGTCCGTTTCTTGCTTTCAGATAACCGGTCTTTTAAACTCCAAACGGTAGTAAAGTTTCCGAATGCTTTTTCAATTGCCAGAAGGCAAATATTGACAGCTTGTGCCAGGACATCTTGCGACTGCTGTATCCATGCGATCCGCGGCCGTCGGAGAACAAAAGGTTGTGCATGCAGTGCTTGGCTTTCTGGCTGGGGTGGGTCGTTGGGGGCCAGTTATCGGAGAGCTTTTTTGGTGGAAGCTGAAGTTGCATGAAGTCGTCACCGGGGTAAAGGTGTTGGGTAGAAGCTGAAGCCCTGGATTCTTTGCGATCGAGTATAATGCATAGAATCCGGCCTACTAGAATATCTTCTCAACACCGCAGTCTACCAGATGCTGTAGCAGCGGCAGAAAGATGTGTTTCAGAGAACCGGATTTTGCTCAAGCACGAAACGGAACTGTATGTAGTCCGCCAGTACCGAAACCGTCCTGCATGCAGGATGTGGCATCCTCCTATTCACGTATGTTAGACCTGTGTTCGAGTAACGGCTACTTGGGGAAGCAGCGTTGTTGTGCACGGCATATACGACCAAACCCCAAAACCCTATGTCATGACTGCTCCTCCTAGTGAAGGTTCACTTCTCAGACCTCCGAACCTACATGCCTCGCCTGGATGAGCGCCGAAACCCCATTATGTAGGCTTCACCCAGCAGGCATGGTGGCTTCCTCAGTTGTCCTGCTTGTGCCCTCGAGGCCTTAAGCTTGCTTAAGACAGCAGAAAGAAGCCCTGGCTCCCCAAACTCTAGAACATTAAAGTTTCGCCCATCGAACACCCTCAACCCCGCTAAAGCGTATAGAGCCCTGATGGAGCCACTTCAGGACCTTCCACGGAACCCTGCAACGCGCAAGGGCTGGAAGCTTCGCTTGCCAGGCGTTGCCCGCCCGTACCGGGTCGACTGGCAGTCTTTTGGCGAACCGGGCCGGCGTCCTGGACCGGTGGGGCTTACTCGGGCTTAGGGCTTCTGCCGGTTGTACATGGTTCTACTGCGGGCTTGAGATCTTAGGGTTACAGTTTATGGGGTTCACCGAGGGGCTTCAGGGTTTCTCCTAGGTTTCAGGGTGTGGGATCGATCAGGCCAGGGGGTTCTCAGGTTGATCGCGTGTAGGTTTAAGGCCTTGGTTCGTAGGGGTTGGAAGGTATTCAGGATTTGATGGGTTAAAGGATGCGGTCTGCAAGGGTCCGGCTTTACAAGGGTGTGAGGGCATAGTAAGCCCTATAGGCCCGAAGGCTAAGTGGGAGGCAAGAGACCCCAAGTATCCCCAAGTCCTATAAAGGATATAAACCCTATCACCCCATACATCCTGTACCCAAGCCTGGCTTGGTGTTGGCGACTGCTTCAGGGCACCTGTTATGCTGCTCGAAGTTGAAAAGTCTGCCAGCATCTCTATCCCGAAACCATCCGAAACCACGGACAACAGTGCCATGTTTGCCTGCATAGGCCCAGGTCTAGACTTAGACGTAGTTTGTTGGGAGATGGGGGAATTACGTTTGTGAATACCCCCGTTGTTTGCACTGGAAGCTTCGCGTCAAAGGCGCAGCAGTAGCAGCAGCAGTGGGATTGCCATTTCGGTTCGTCCATCCCTAGGGCTCCAGTTATATACCTTAATAGTAGGTTACTAACCATATACAATATACCCCAGTAACCGGCTGTTTAGGTAACTGGAGCCATAGGGCATCTTGTTGATTTCGGGATTGAATTCGGCCAGCAGTTTGGCCAGGGATTTCTTTGGGGGGGTTCCTGGTCATCAGTACATTCGGCTTCTAGGGATCGCTGGGAAACGGTGCATCGTTGGTCTCCAGTTTGTTCGAATTCCAGTGTTTGGGAGATTCATGCCTCCGCCCATTTCGATCCATCCCGATGGAATACTTGCGATGTGATATGGAACCCCAAGAAGCTAAACCGGTAGATTTAACAAGGTTTACGCAACTGCTACTCCGTAGTCGGCCCGGTGAGGTCGTTGCGGGTTGCCCTCTTGCTGGCTGCAAAAGCGTCTCTTGGATGCCACCTGCTGGTGCCTTGCCTCATGAAACTCGATTTGGGATGCTTCAGGAGCATATGGTACCAGTGACCTGACAGCATGGCTTTAAGAACCATCACAATAAAGACACAACGCAGGACAATAACGTATGGTCGTGTGAATTCTTGGTAGCAGTAGGAACTGTTTAGGTTTGGGCTTAGGTGTTTACGGGAGTCGCTGCAGCAGACGCAGCAACAGCAGCAGCAAGAGGAGCAGTTGCAGCTGTTGCCGTCGTCGTGGCTGTTGCACAAGTAAAGGTGGTGAATCGCTGCACTTTTCGCTTCGACTTGCACATCCGAGGTCAGGTCGTTACACTTCCCGCGTTTATGGCGCCGCTTGGGTCGTTGCAAGTGCCGGCAGGGAGAACGATGCTCACAAGCCCCGGGCGCAGCGTGACGGATGGTCGCGCCTCTCCGGCTGGTGTCGGTTCCATTCCTGCCGGATCCCTGCACCTCCCACCCAGCCACCCCAACGGCACCATGCTGACAAGCCCTGGGCGCACCGTCAAAGCTGATGGGCGCGCCTCTCCAGCTGGCGTCGGTTCCGGTCTTGTTGGATCCCTGCACCTCCCTCCCAGCCATCCCAACGGCCTGGCGAGTCCTGGAGGGCTTTTGCCGCCACCGACGGCGAAGTCTCCTCCACCGAGTCATCAAGCGCCACAGTCGCCCCATCAGTTTGCTGGGAAGCTGCCGGCCCACCCGGCGACTTTCGTTGGCACTCCTCCCCGTGCTGTCGGAGGCACAGGGCCCGTGCTTTATCCGGGAAGCCCTGGACAGCTCAGCCCATCGACTGGAAGTTTGGTGGCATCTCGGCCCATCCTTCAGTAAAACCCAAACCCAGATCCCTGAACCCTAAACCCTACGGACCGGTGCACTGTGCTGCCGAGGTTGTCTGGCAACAGTAATTCCATGGCTTTGTTGTATATGTTCTGGGAGTGCAGCTGTGGACTGGATGAGTAAGGCAGGCTGGTCAGACGGAGGCGGGCCATTTCGTGTGGGAGCCTGTCCGTAAGTCTTAAGTGGCCAGTATGGGGTAGCTTAAGATGGTAGGTGGTGAATCCCCGGACAGGTCCCAAACCACCCCTCAGCCGAATCGGCATTCCAACTAACCGAACGGGCAGGAGGAAAACAGGGCTCAACAAAAAAAAACTAAGGACTTAAACAAGCTCAAGGAATGTCCGGGTGTCCCAAAGCCCTGCTCCGAAACCTCCTCGAACTATAGGGGCCTTCATCATTACCTATACTATTTTTTGAGGGGGGTCCTTATTATGATTGTAGTAAGTTTTTATTATATCACCAAATCCTATTCTAATTACTATAAGGCCCTTTGTTTTTGGGCCTATGCCTTGAGTGGGTCCAAGGCACCTCCTGCTTTGCTGTCGCCCCAGAGCTTCAGCTTGACGGTCAATCCGGCCCAGGCCTTGCGCCCAAGATGCTCGGTTTACCCAGAGGGTCCAAGTACTCCCTATTGTAGTACTTAAGGGCCTTTTTGGGTATGAAAAACCATAAATGAGGACTACTTGGACCCTTAGGGTTAGGGTTTAGTAAAAAAAGCTACGGGCACCCCTCCGTCCCTTTGCAAGGGCCGAACAAAGAAGCTGAGTTTGGAAGACTTCTTGAGAAGGTCGAAACTACTGTGGATGGCGTGTAGCTTGGACACAGTATGTGGGGTGTAGGGGCCGTAAAGCCTTTCGGGGACGCGTTGGCACCATGGTGCAACCATCATAGCGACACAAGGCCCTTTAGGGCGGTAGGTTTGATTGGAGTTTGAACAAGCTGGGCCTGGCTCTGAGGACTGCTCGAGGTCAGCACCCTCAAAACTCCGGCTTATAGCTAAGCTAAGAGCTGATAAGATGATCTTGGAATGCGGTATTTTGCCGAAAACTTCGAGAAGCGATAGGACACCACGATCAAACAAGGGCCATATGTTGGACACATGCATCTGTAGTTGTCGGCAAGCCGATACCCTAGTCGATGCACACCAAAGCTTTTCGGGAATCATTGCCCATTACCCATGTTGAGGAGGAAATCATTCGTTACTCCTACGGTTGTTACAAGCACGACTATTATCGTAGGCTATCGTTATTACCAGCACTGACCTATCTTTTTACGATTGCTACTTCTTGTATCACCGTTCCTGTGCCATGACCGTTTTCAGAACCATCACGAGCGCATCACCAACCCCATTTTTAAACAAATTACCGCATCATCACCATACTCGCCCACAAGTGTGATACCTGACAGAGGAGCAACCAGAGCCCTGTAAAGCGATAGGACTCCCCCGACCTATAATTTAACCAACGAAGAAGTTTGACAAGCACTCATGTCTGGTTGAATCTTTATTGCCGAATGGCATGCCAGCAACAACTTTCTGTTGTGGTTTGAGGTTTCCAGGTCTATAAGCCTGTGGCATCAAGGGTTTCTCCTGACCCCCCCGTAAATCCCGCACCCTCAACTTTCTTTTCCGCTTGGCAAACACCCCATCATGGCTTTCTCTGTTGGAGCCGCAGGTGTCGGTGGGGTCGCCCCAATGCTCGGCGCGATCCCCTAACCTGGCACCTGTTCAGCAAGAGCATACAGGGTTTCGGAGTGAGTGGTGTGGTGATACAAGCTTGGCCTACGTATCCCATTTCTTGCATATGCTTTCCAGACTCATGTCATGGTTACAATCGAGGAGGATCGCAGCTACTAGTTTTTGGTGCCAAGTGTTGGTTCCTAGCTTCATAAGGATTGGGCAGATACTTTTCGTACTTTGGGGACTAGGGTTTGCGGTTTTTAGGGTTTCAGGTTTACAAGGGACAAGGGACTATAGCTTGGTCTAAAGGGCCGAAGTTCGAAGCCTTGCAGGCATCGTCTTCCTTCTCGAAGCCTTCGAGCCTTCATTCCCAAGTCACCGCAGGCCCTTATAGATCCTGGTAAAGGAACTCCTAAAGTTAGCCTCCAAGTCACCGCAGTCCCTTATAGATCCCTTTAAAGGAACCCCTAAAGCCTCCAAGTCACCACAGGCTCCATCAGGGGCTGAGGTTCCAGCAAGCTCCGTCCGAAGCCAGGTACGATCGGCCAACAGCTTCAGCTCAGGAGCTTTGAGGGGGGGGTAATTAGGGTTTAGGGGGGCGGGGGGGGGTGGGGGGGGGGTAGGGTTTAGGGGTTTAGGGGTTTAGGGGTTTAGGGGGGGGAGGGGTAGGGTTTAGGGGTTTGAGTGATTGAACGCAGATGAGACATCTGTCATATATGGTCACGCGCTCCGCAGGCCCCCCCCCCTCCCCCCCAAAGGTCAATGGTCCGGAAATAGGGTGGGGCCCCGCCCTCCCCTGTGGTGTGGGGTGTGGGGTTCCTCTTCCCCCTGTGGGTGGTTGTGGGGTTTTGGGGTTTAGGGTTTAGCTTAAGCTTTTGAGTTTTGGGTTTACGGCTACAAGGTATAAGGCTTCGAGTCGACAAGGGCTTAGGGAGGATTTGCGGTGTATGCTCTGCTTTAGGCTTAGAGCCTGCAGTTAGGTGGGGTTTAGGGTTGGGTGTAGCGTTTTAAGTACAAGTTAAGGTTGCTCAAAACCGGGGCACGCGCTGCGTCATAGGGTTTACGGCTTGCTTGCGAAGGGCTTGCGCGTGAGCCCTGGCCGCCAGCACCACCCCACCATCCAGTGGCAGCTCCAACGGCCCCAACCCCTTTCCGCACACGCCAGGCCCCCCCCCCACCCCTGTCAGACCATACCATTGGGGGGGGGGGGGGCTGGGAACGCCAGACGCCTGACCATATATGGTCAGGCGTCTGGCGTTCCCAGCCCCCCCCCCCCCCCAATGGTATGGTCTGCTAGGGTGGGGGGGGGGGGGGGGCTGGCGTGTGCGGACAGGGGTCGGAGCCGTTGGAGCTGTCACTGGATGGTGGGATGGTGCTGGCGGCCAGGGCTCACACGCAAGCCCTTCGCAAGCAAGCCGTAAACCCTATAACGCAGCGCGTGCCCTTGTTTTGAGTAACCTTAAGTTGTACTTCCAACCCTACACCCAACCCTAAACCCCACCTAACTGCAGGCTCTAAGCCTAAAGCAGAACATACACCGCAAGTCCTCCCTAAGCCCTTGTCGACTCGAAGCGTTATACCTTGTAACCGTAAACCCAACACTCAAAAGCTTAAGCTAAACCCTAAACCCCAAAACCCCACAACCACCCCACAGGGGGAAGAGGGACCCCACACCCCACACCACAGGGGAGGGGGGGTCCCACCCTATATCCGGACCATTGACCTTTGGGGGGGGAGGGGGGGGGGGCCGCGGAGCGCGTGACCATATATTGACATTCGAGTATTGAGCATGAGCACTGTAGCCCGGGTTGAAACGAAGCATGTGTTCACGTACCTGCAGAGCAGGCATACCTATGCACCGCATCCACCCCCCTGTAGCACAAACTCAACAGGGCCAAGATGCAGATGACTTAAATGCTAGTACATGTTTTGTTCGCGGCCGATTCCAACGCCAGGGTGCATGTTTTAGGGTCAAAGATCCGACACGCGTTGCATCAGCCTTGGTGCTCTAGAACGCTCAAGCGCGAGACTTCGTAGTCTCAGCACTGGGGCCTAGTAGGCCGTTTTAGCTCCAACATGCTCCAACCTGACCGCATAACCGAAAGGTTTCTAACACATCGCACCCAAGAGAAAATCGGAACATTGGCTGAGAGGAAGTCTACCACAGAGAGCGATGTCTCCCTCGCCAAAGGCGTGGCAGACTGTGGTTAATCTTGACTTGTCTTCTTCGTGAAGAAAGCGGAACTGGAGGGATTCATGGGACATTAGTCCTTTCAATTCGGCTTCAAGCATTGCACCCGTTCTGGTTCTCGCCACGAGCGAATCCGGCATGAATGATTGTCACACCCAAAGAGGATGCAGATTCCTTTGTAATCGTTGTGCGAGAAGCTTCCTGATGTAAACCATCATGGTCCGAATACGGTATGAAACCATCGCACAGCCCTGTCGGACCTGTAAGCACAGCCGTGTCAGTATTGGCCCTAATCTCGAAGACAGGTTCTGCCTGGCTCGCCTTACCAGGCCGTGGCCCCTCTAGGCCGGAGGGATCGAGATCTGAAGCATTCGCAATCCTGTCCTCGCACTGCCGCGGTGCAGTCACAGTGCATAGTACTACTACGACGCACCCCCAAATCCCTAGCTTGATTGTCTAGCCCCCATGTTATACATTCTGCTGGCAGAACTGGAGCAGGGGAGCAGGTTCCATAGGAGCGAGCAAGCCCAAACATGGCTGCTCTGCAGCCCTAAACCCTAAGCCCCTAAGCCCTACACCCCTAAGCCCCCAAGCCCTACACCCCTAAACCATCCTAAACCATCCTAAACCCCTAACTCCAGACATGGCTGCAATGCGGGCTTCGTCCTTGCCAAGTAGGAGGGAAAAAACATGGCTGTTCTGCAGGGTTCAACTTCTCGAACCAGTGAGCCCGAAGCAAAAGTGCTTACACCCCCTGAACCCTACACCGAACCTCTGCATAGGTTACTGCACAAGCAACAGTTCATGTGTGATTTATGAGTGTATGTGTGTGTATATATATATATATATATACAAATATATATATATATATATATATATATATACCCCAGAGGGTCCAAGTACTCCCTATTGTAGTACTTTAGGGGCTTTTTGGGTATGAAAAACAATAAATGAGGACTACTTGGACCCTTAGGGTACATACATATATATATATATATATGTATATATATATATATATATATATATACTCGTTTGTTTGTTTACACACATGGATAGGTGTGTGTACATATGTAACATTTTTAAAATATATGACGCCGATGACATATGTGAGTCACACACACACACATAGGGCTAGAAGCGGTTATAAGCGTGATATATGTGAATACAACCAAACATAGCTAGAAACAGTATGTCTGTATTTACAAATGTGTATATATATATATATATATATATATATATATATATATATATACACGTTTATTCATTTACATACGCATAGATATGTACGCATACACATTGACCCATAGACCCATGCATACATACAGGCAGACAGTCAGACAGATAGGCACACACGCGTACATGTGTACGTGCTGTGTGTACGCTGGCGCAGAGACATCGGAAATCATACTCCTATAATACTACTGTAATACTACTATAACTACTTTAATACTATAATACTACGTTTGGGCGTACCTTAGTCTTAGACTTGGAGTCCTTGGAGCCTGCTTTTGGGGAGAGTCGCTACTTTTTCGGTCCTTCTATTTGTCTACGAGGCTCGTGGTTTGTGGCTTGGTTTGAGTGAGTCTGGTGCTACGGGCTTAATGTTGTTCTAGGTCCTGGGTTTCCGTTCTCTTCACACATTCTAACGCTTCAAAATTAACGTTCTCTTCGCCCCCAAGAAGAAAGAACGATACCGTGCAAGTATGTGAAAGCGTGAGGAGAATGGGCAGCTGCCGAACATGAAGAGGTTTTTGACGGTCCCCGATCTCTTCATACATTCACTCACACTCTTCAAAACTATCGTTCTCTTCACCGACAGACAGAAAGATTGCAGCAAAGTATGTGAAAAGCTTGACAGCATGGGAGGGTGACCGCTAGAGTTGTCTGTCTTTGGCCGAATGTTGTAACATCACTTAGTATAGGGGCCGAAATGATAAATCTACCAATGCCATTGTGGGGGTTCCTTATTCTAAATATAGTCTAATGGGTCCCAAAACCTTGTTCTAATTAGTAAGGCTTGTAGTCAGCTGCAGACCCTGAGCGCTTAACTAGTCTCGAAACTGATGCAAGAACTTACAAAGGTCGCTCTACAAGATTCGATTAAGTTCTCTGCTGCTCGGGTTTACACGTCAATTCAAGGATTCCATATCGGAAGGCATTGTTTGGTCTTTCGAGCCTCTAGTTGATGGTGGCATTGGTTTAGGGTAGGACGTTCCGACAGTCAAGGGATCGTGGATGCACAAACATACATAGTTCGTATATGTATGTATGTATATACATCCGAGATGATGGTCGGCATTGTGTCATAGATGTGCAGATGAAGGTGCAGCACCTAGGGCCGTGAGAGGTGTTCAGGCTGTTTGTGTTACCGCGTCGAGCTAGCATCTGATGGTTCTGCTGAGGTCGCACCTGCCCGGGGGCTCCCTGGTAGCCGCCCCCGGGGTTCATATTTAGAATCCTATAAGGTAATCCCAAAAAGGAACTACTATGGAGCCTTTGGGTAAAGATCTTGATCCCCACGTAAAATGCGCTAAGATTGAGCTGCCGCATACCTGGAAACCCAAAGCGGTGATCTGCAAAACCTGATCGCCAGGTATGCCTGGCGCGGTGAATTGCTGTACAAGGAGTTGCCTTGCTTGGGTTGAGCAATTACCAATACTATTTTGGGCGTTCCTTATTATGATTCTATTATATTTTACCCCCAAACCATATTCTAATTATCAAGGCCCCTATATTAGGTATTAGTTCAATCAAATCTTGGTCGCCGGTTGATTTGCGACATTGGTGTCCACCAAAACATGACGGCCGACATGATAGAAATCCCTGACATCCTTGGACATTTAGGTATAGGGCTTTGAGAGACTTACATTTTCCCTTATAGGGCTTATATAAGAGGGTTTTATTTACTAATGTTTGTTCAAAGGCTTTAAAAGTCCCACATAGACATGTATGATGCAGGGCTGCCACACCCCCCCTCCCCCCCCCACCCCATGGTATCCTCCCCCCTTCCCCCCCGCCCCCCCTGTGGTGTGGGGCCTGTGGTGGTACTCTTTTTGCCACGACGTTCTTATGTGTTACTCCTTGTCTTCCCTCTTGTTGTGGCACCGGTGATACTGCTCATGATGTTGTGCTGCTCTAGACCGGGACATGAGTCGACGATCATACCATGCTCAACATCATCCTTGTCGTCGTCATGTTCATCATTGATACCTTCAAAAGAAGATCTGCCACCATCACCATCGCAATACAACCCTCATAATTCAGCATTGCAATTCACGTCAGATGCCGCTTTCCGCACACGGCAGGGCATAGTGCGACACTCCCGATCCGCGCACAAGGTCAAGGGGCAGGCAAGGTGCGGGCCGGGGGCGGCGGGGCGGGCAGGGCGGGTGGGCGTGCAGCAGCAGGGCGGCAGGGGGTTGGGGGGGGGGGGGGATACCATGGGGGGGGGGGGGTGGCGGCCCGGTACCCGAGAGCATGTATAGCGGAGCCCTTGTGGGCTTGGACCAGAACTGCGGACTGCGCTTTCGTTTTCCTTAGGGCGCTCCTCTGCCTTTTCCACCCAACCTCATAAACCCCGATTCCACTGTTTCTATTCAAGGGAGGTTGGGGGTGTATCCTTCAGGACATGACAAGCTGTGCTGCGAACTGGCTACCTGGCTCCACCGACCGGTGCAGTGCGGTGTAAACTGCGCGCAGGAGTGTCTCGCCCTCTTCGGTGCCGTTGTCTCCGCCAGGGGTCAGAGCCTTGGGAACACATTTTCGAGGTTTGGATTTACTCAAACTTAGTAATTACTGCCCGGCGTGAACGAATGAACAAAAACAAATATGAACCAACAAGCTTAGATACATTCGATGAAAAGTCAAGTATGCATGATTACGGGCTGCATCTGTCTGCGTGCCTGGCTGACTGAATGAATGACTGTCTGTCTGCCTGTCTCTGTATATATACATATATGCTTCTCTAGAAGAATGTGCATGTACGTGTGTATATATAAAGATGTATTTATTTATTTGCATTTATATACACACCTGTGTACGTATGCATGTAGGTATGTACATATGTATGTATGTACAAATGTTTTGTATGTGTGTATGTGTGTATGTGTATGTGTGTATGTATTGTATTGCATTGCATTGCATGTATGTATGTATGTATGTATGTATTTGTATGTATATTTTGTGTGTGTGTGTGTGCGTGTTGTAGTATGTGTACTGTAAATAAATAGATAAATAAATATAAATATATATATATATGCATACATACACTTACACATGCATACACAGATTAAGGCAACAAGGCAAGAAGCAATGACACTAATCAACACAATCCACACGTAGTCACACTATCTACAACGCTATTTCACTTCATTCGTTTATCAGCCTGCGGCTTAGTTGCGTCATAGAATCATAAGTATGTCATTAGTTAGTCACCCAGTTAATGAATTAGTTGGCCAGTTGAACACTGAATTAGTTGATTTGCCACTTTCAAGAACAGACAAACTAGGCAGTCAATTAGTCAGTTAAATGATTACTATGGAAACAATGCCAATAGCTACATATTTCTGTTGCACACACACATACATAGGTTTATGGATGTATGCATGCATATCTGTATGTGTATGTCTGTATGTGTGTTTGTGTGTATATATACACACACACAACGGGTATGTCGTATGTATCATGCCAAACTGCAGAATTCCAGAGTTTTGGGAACTTGCAAATGCGAGTCACCCACCGGAGTGTGCTGACAACAGTCGGTGGAAGCTCCAAACCCGCAAGGCCTTCAAGCTCTAGGTTCCACGTCAAAACTGCGGCTCAATGACATGCAAGTTGAAACTTTCCGTCAACCCAGATCCAAATCTTCTTGCAGCAGCTTGCAAGCTGAGAGCTGCAGTGATGTATCATCAGCGAAAAAGCAGCACGCTGCATCAAAAGTGGAATTGCCGAATGAATACAGAGCGGTCTCAACTTTCGTGTTTGCAATTTCGCGGGCATCTCCTTGCACAGATGTTTATGCCTGACATGTAGTTTTCGTCGCCCAGAGTAAGCTCAGCTGTTCTTGCCTAGAGTGTCTGGACCCCATCGCATCTGGGACTGTGTCTTCAGGCTTGTGGTGTTTAGGGATGTTTAGAGTATGTACGGCCTGTGAAGTTTTTCGTATTGCAGTCCCTGCCGTTATAGGGCTGACAACTGGGATGACAAGTGTTTGTTCTGAGAGTTTGATATGGAGAGGGTATGCAGGAAGGTGAATTGAGTGTGTTTGTGTGTGTGTGTGTGTGTGTTTGTGTCTCCTACGTCTTAAAGCGCTTGGGATGTAGACTCACAAGGTTTCGAGTGAGTTGGCAGTCGGCACAGTGCAGTACCAACATTCCTGCAACACGGAAGTTACGTCCCCACAACCGAGTTTGTGCTAACTGACAGCTGCGAACGAATTTGATGGCTCTCGTGAGCATGAGTGAGCATATGTATACATATACATATATGTATATATATATATATATACACATGCAGATATGCTTATGTATATATGTATGTATGTGTATATATACATATATGTACACATGTCCTTAACTGACTATACATCGCGAGCAACCTAAGCGGCATTGTTGCCCCTATATCGTATAGGCATTGTACTGGTTAGGGTCTGTATTCGCGGTTTAGAGTAGTTGGATCTCAAAGCCCAGCCTTTCTAGCCTCGCGGAGGTTTCCAGGGAGGAACATCCTCACACCCTTGGAAATTGTCCGAACCGAAAAATGGCTGCCGGCTGCAACCAGGTTCGAGCCCCGGCGCCGGCTGGCCAAGGCATGTTTTATCTCAGCCAGTGCTGTGAGCTATACATAAGGGAAGGCCGTTCAACCCCACGCCGAACATTCAAAACAATTTTACTATAGGTTTTTTGGAGTGACGTCTCCTCGTCGGGAACTGAATGGTGCTTCCGCTTGCCACCCTGTGTTATTCAGCCGCGTCAGCCGAGCAACCCGATGCTTGTACTTCCGTCGAGAGGCCGCGGTAGTCAGCTTCTTTGGTGTTCCGGCTCCGCATGCGTGCATGCAGTGTTGAAAAAATCGTGGTGATCGCCCCCTGTTCCGACAAACAGCATTTCATAATGACGTTCTTCGATGATACACCCCAAATGCTGAAGGCCCCTATGGCAGGTCCTAGGGCCACGTCTCCTTGCCTGCGAAAGGCAAGCCAAGACTCACAGGTTTTAGGGTTCAGGGTTGACATTTTAGTCATCTCACTTCTGGGATTTCTTGTTGCGATGTTCCGTGATTTGTAGTGTTTAAGAGTTGGGATCTTTGCAGGAGCTCGGTTACGAAGGTTTTGTGTTGGTGTTGTTACGGACAGGATACGACCTCCTGTTCTTGAGGCGGAAGTACACAGCATCCACAGCCTAGGAGCAGAAGCCTACCTTTGCAGCACCGTAAGCCTGAAACAACCCCGTCCCCTTTTTAACCCTTGCTTCACATCTTCGCGTGTGAGACTTTCTTCCCTCGGAACCCGAAGAGACCTTGGCTAAAGCCTTATGCGCATCCGAAGCTCTAGGCCTCCATTCCTGGCGCGCGAGACGATGAACTCCCAATCCCTCTTGATCCTGGCCCCAACCATCCTGCCGAAAGGCTTGAAGTTCGTGCCACAAGTGCTCCCGTCGCCAAGCTTCTCGGCTTATTCCTTGGCCGTCGAGCCGTTCCACCCGCAAGCGGTATGCCCGTGAAACGGGTCACTACTGGGAGGCTTCGTCTCCAATTTGGTTAGGAGCTGTGTTGTCACACAAGCCATGGATTCAGAAGGCGTTGCACCCTTAAGCCTAAACCTGAGACCAGATGGGCGACCTGCAAAATCGCGAGCCGTAATGGGGCCACCGACCCCCCCTTTTGCCAGAGACACTAATCTTGACAAAGGAGAGGTGTTCCGCTCTTGTACGATGCAAAGGACACCATGACGACAAGTCTGCAGAGCAAGGTCCGGCAAAGTGCAAAAACCTGGAAGGCTGGTTCTAGTGAGCACGGAAAGCCCAGAAAGCAGCGAATGCCAAGCATGACTGTTCATCAGAGCAATACCAACAGTGGTGGTTTTAAGGGGCATTGGAGTTCAAGGGCTTAGACAGTTATATAGACTCAGTTAGACACATGCGAAGAGCGCGGCATGCTTATCTCGATAAACCATCGCCGGCAACAACGCGCATGGCCATGAAAAAACTGTAGCCCCCGCTTACCAGCGACCCGTTTGGCACTTTCCTTTAGACGCGCGTCTACACGTCGTGCTGCTCGCTCAGGCCCCTTGCCGCAGCCCTGGGCGATGCGCCGGTCGTAGCTTCCTTGTTGGTACCAAACTCAGCATAGTAGGACACGACGACGTCAACTATCACGTACTACCGACAATGCACTTCACACTACCTACCAAGTACTTACTTCTTACTACTTACTACCCAGTACCCACTGCCCAGTACCTGATAACTCCTAGCTACTACTTGCCAACTACCCCACTAGTTTATGAGTAGTCACTCCTAGCTTCTGACTGCTGCCAAATACCCAGACTGTACTTACCATTTCCCACTATCCACTGCCTACCGTGTGCTAGCTACCAGCTACGAACTACTGGCTATGATTGCTAGCTGCTACCTGCTAAATACTAGTGGCCAGCAGCTATTCGCTTTTTACTTGCCACTAGTCACTAGCTACCAGCTGCCAGCTTCTAGCTAACTGCTACTGCTACTGCTATTGCGACGACGACTGCACAACGAGGATGTGGACGACGACGACGACAAAGACGAGGACAATGACTAGAACTAAAGTCGACGTTGCTGTTCACATCCATCGGTCTTCGCAGCCTTGACCTCGGATATAGAAGAGCATGTACTTCAGTTGAACACAAGCTGCAGCGATGTCCAATGCATACTACTTGACATGTTCATTATTCCTAGCTGCTAGCTTCATGATTTGTCTCAGTTGCTGCCTCGCTCTCTCTCTCTCTCTCTCTCCCTGTCTCTCTCTCTCTCTCTCTTTACCTCTCGCTCTCTCGCTTCTTCACCGTCTGTCGTCGCTATATGCACTCATGCACTGCAATTGTTTATTCCTACACATATCTACCTCCAGGTTCCCGTTGTGATATGCGTGCATTCATGCATGTGCTCGTAAAGGGAGCCACGAAGAATCAATTAAGAGAGCTTTCGCTTTGTACGGTAGAGCCCAGTCGGAGCAGTTCAATGATCGCTTTGGTTAGCTTTGCAAGCCACATTCGTTGTGAGCCAAGCGAGTCCGAGAAGGTGAGCGACACATATTAGCGACAACAGCATGCAAAGGATGCTGTGCTGTTCGTCAAGCCATCTTATCCCATAAAGGAACAACAACCCAAAAGGCTTCATCCGCTTCGCAAGATGTGCTCGGCAATAGCCATGCAGGCAACCACAATGCAGTCCGTATGGCAAAACTCTTTACTTGCAGCAACCCACTAAGTGCCTTGAACCCTCGACCGAAGGACTTGAAAATCGCGTTAGTTAGCAGACCATGACTGACCTGCCATGGTACTGTATAAGGCCAGGCCGCTGATTGGGGGCCCCAAACCATCGCTTTTGTTGCAGCTGCGGCTATGAGCCCGTGCAACGTGCCCAAAGGTGTTTCAGAACATAGTGGACTGCAATTATCCATGTACAGGTATAACTTTTTGAATGTCCGACCCTTTATACAAGGGAATCATCACTCAGTTACCTAGCCCGAAGTTCCAATTACACCCCCCCCCCCCCCCCCCCGCGAACTTGGAGTCCAGAGAGCATGCCCGGTTCCGTCCTCTGAACACTGAAGGTCTCTTGGAAAAGGCGCATGGCCTTGTTCCTTACGAAGCCTGTCATGTACTGACAGGTTTCAACAACGAGGGTCTCAACAGCGGCACCATCCTCACAAAGATACTGCAGATACTGCGTTCACTGCTCAAAAATATTGATAATGCCGCACGGATGCGTTCACAGCAAAAGCCTTTCGACTACCAACCAATCAGCAGAAGAAAATGATGGCCAGACCCGTAACCCTAACATGCCCAAACCTTAAACCCTAAATCTTTTAAGAGCAGCCGAGGTGTGGTGCCAAAGCAGACCCCCCAGCAGTGAAGCTATCGAGCCCGAGGGTCTGAGAGTTGTGGTTTTAGGGATTGGGGTCTCAGAGCTTTCGTAGGCGGACTCGCTGGCTGACACTCAGAGCCCAGCTGAAAAAGGGCTTTCGTGATGCTCAGAAATGTGCCAGTAAAAAATGCCGAAGACTGCACGCCCGAAGAGCCATGAATTTGAAGCCCCTGCGACTACTTGTGCAGTACTACTGTCGGGTGGCTCCGAAGGGGGGGGGGGTTGGCTAGGGGGGTGCGGGGCAGCAACATGAATGTGCCTGGGTCAGTGGTGCAACCATTTCTTGCCTAGGACTGGTGCGAACATTGTGTGTAAGAGGATTCCCTGCAGCCAGTGCGCCTCAAAACCAACTCTGTCCAGTTTCGTTTGCTTCTCATGTTCGTCCTGACTCGTCGTCTCCTGGCGGACATCTCAGAGCCCGCAGCGAAATCGAGAGTTGACAACTGGAATGTCACTAAGCTCGTTTATCGATAGTGCGGCCTGTGTTGCCGTGATTTGTCGTGTTGAAACGTGGCTTCGCATGGACTGCAGGGTGCACGTTAGCAGACAGGGGCTACTCAGCAACCAAGCCACGGCCGAAACAATTGTATTGGCGGGTCGAAATGCCGATACAACCGCCGAGGCAGATGCATCAGAAACCCGCAAAAACGGGACATGTATTGATAACCAACGAACTCAACACATAGGGGCTAAAGGTCAGAATCTACAAGCGGCAAACAAAGGTATCGGACACACGCCGGCGCGATTCATTGCCCTTCCAGGGTCGCGAGGGCGTTCGCATTCGCCCTGCGCGCCGTCGTGACGTATTCTCATGCTTCGCGTAGTAACGGGCCGTTTAAATATACTTGCAGCAAATCCTCTATCATTCGCCCACCGTCCATCAGCAGACAGCTGACCCACACTGTTGGTGGGCGCAGGGATTGAATCAGGAGGCGATCGGGAGGTGTTGTAGAGCTTAATTTCTTGAATCAATGCTTCTCGTTTGAAGCCGGTGGGGTCGCGGACTTGCTGATAGCCAGCGACCCTTCAACCTAGAACCTCCTGACCCTCATTCAACTTAGAACCTGTACAGTGAGCTTTGCACATTGATTGGCTAGTTTGCAAGCTGTCGCAAAACGGCATGTATTGCTGGTCAAACCCTTTCTGGTGAACCGCCCCCCCGTTTTGAGCCTCCCAAAGTAGACTGTAGAGATCAGATTCTCCATGCCGGGACATGAAGATAAAAACGCATCTGTCAGATCCTTGTAAGGCAAGGCTTCAACGGCTATAGAACTTGAACCTAAACAGGCGCGAAGTAACTGAGCCTGCTTGTGCCTGCTTCCTGTCCCTGCAAGATCCCGCTGAACTGGTTTTTGGGAGATCACGAAGCCGAAGACTCCGGCATTAGCCGTTCACGAGCTCAGGCGGATAACAGGTTGTAGGCAGCCACACCCAAAAAACGCAAGCTCGTGGCCGAAGAAGTGTGGACTGGGCTCGAAAGGAGAGGAGCCAGAAACCCCCATGATCCGATGCCAAAGTAAGCCTGTGACTTGATTTATGGAGCGTGCGGGGGCACTACATGATGTGAATGGCAGCGTTAGTGGGGATAGGACGCATACAACGTCAGGTGTTCGAGCGGTCAGCGACGTGAGCCTGCAGCTTGCTCCTAACTCAAGCATCAAGTCTGTCACCTTGTTTTACCGAGGTTTTTTGTGGTGTCATCACGACAAAGGATGAGCTGTCAGCAAGAATTACAACATCAAAGCTTACTTCGATACAGCTTCGATTGTTGTGTGCTGGCCATGGTAGAGGAGCCGCAGGCGGGAAACGGACAAGTGTGTCACCTATTCCTGTGGGAGACGAGAAAATCTTTGGTGGGTTCGGGGAGGAACGTTTGAAACTACTTTAGGTTCGGGATTGCCAGCCATCACCGCCGATTCAGCGTCATCTTGCCCTTAAAATCCACTGTATCATAATCGTCACCCTCATCCTCCGAATCATCATCCCAGTCCCCATGGCCATCGTCATATAGTGATAGATAGTGGAGTCGCCAGTTCACAATGACAAAGCGTTCTGCCTTTGTCATAATCACCATCACAATCGGCAGCGTGTTGTTACGTAATTTCGCACCCCCGCGATCATCAAAACCGGCCCGTGCCGGAATGGTTAGGTGTACCACAACTACACCATTCTACATTGCAGTGGTATTTTGCAGACAGTGCCGCAACTGTTGACAATGTTGATCCCTTTTTCTTTGCATGAAGATGAACAAGGCTTGTAGGATGTCATGCGCATGATGTGACTGTGGTCTTTTTGGTACTGCTGCATCGATGACGACAATCTTGATTGTATTTGTTTGCCTTGAAGTCGTGCAGGTGGAGCAACATGCCGTACCTGAGGACCCTGAGTCCGGCGAAGGCCAGCTGCCAGCTCCCCACTTTTCCACGGGCTGCGAGTTTGCGACTTTCCTTTGGCAGCAAAGGTCCAAACTTGGCTGAAATCTTCGATCTTTGCGTCCGGAAGGGCCCTGAAAAGCAAAGTAATGTCAGGTCTCTAGTGTCATCCTCGTATCTACCAAACTCCACTTCGGATGATCTCACAGGCCCTTCATGCAAAGATCAAGCTCACGGCTGCTGCTACTATTACTCACTAACACTACCACTGCCACTGCTCCTGCTCCTTCTACTGCTACTGCTACTACAACTACAACTATTGCTGCTACTACTACTACTACTACTACTACTACTACTACTACTTACTACTACTACTACTACTACTACTACTACTACTACTACTACTACTACTACTACTACTACTACTACTACTACTACTCCTAGTTGTTTCTTCTTCACCAAGACATGCATAATGAGAACCGACAGTTACCCTGTTCGGTCGTGTATCTGTGATGTTTGTCAAGGCTCGTGTCGTTGACAGGTCTGAGCTCGCCACGCTTCACCCAACCAACCCTTCTTTGCCTAGTAGTAGAGTAGGCAACGTTTAACCTTTTTGGGTAGAATAGCCCCTACATAATCCTTATATAACCAAGAAGGTTAACCTGTGCTTCCCCATGATACCCGACAAGTAGGTTTGTGATTGCCAAGATCCAAGCGATGGAGACAGCCGTAGCACGGCTTCGCGGACTAGCCATGTGCTGGCAGCGAGTGATAGGTATCCATATCATCCCTTGGCTTACATAACCTAGAAAACATTCGAACAGCCTAATTACAGACCATTAAAGCGACTACCGTTGCGGATTGCATCCAGGACCGATGAGCCCATTCAGTGCCGGCGCGGCCGCACTAAGGGCTGCCAAAGGCACACGAGTCTCGCTGCGACAGACACTGTTCAGAAATTCAGTTTTGCAAGCAGCTGGTGTTCATGTTCATCTACGCTTATTTGTTTGTGTGACCACGACGACCACTACAAAGACCAGTCGTCGCGGCATGTTACGATTCATACTTGCTGCTACTTTGGTTTCTTGGTGCCCTCGTGCCGCGAGTATTGAGTGACGATCATATGAATGATATGAATGTCAGCCTTCTGTGCCACTCCTGGCACCTCCGCGCCACCCTTTCCCCTATTAAGTTCAGGGACGTACAGCTGTGCGGAATTCAAAGAATTGTGAAAGATGGATGAAAACGTGACATCTCAGGTTTTAGCTTCCCGACAGATTTGTTCCGTGACTCTTGGATGTTCTGCGGTTCCTGCCCGAGATAATCTTCCCAGCTCGATCTGCGTGTCGTGCGCTCAGTCTCGGGAGGGTTGAGTGATGCAAGCCTGTGGTTGCAGCGCGGTTATAATGTAGTGCTGTTGTTGAATTTTGGCTGGGGTGAGTCCAGCTTCCAAGAGCGATCGATGCGTATCTTGCATCCATCTTTATGCAGTCTTCAATGTGGCTTTGCAGTTGCCTTGGGCTTCCAACTGGCCACTCATTGTCTTTGGTCTTCACGGCAAGGCGATATTGTTGGAAAGCGTACTCAGTGCATTCCAGCACTCCTTTACCTCTTGCTGCGCCCTGTATGTGGCCATCGCTATCCCCAAACTCTTGAACACTTTAAACAGTTAACGGAGTGGGCTATGCGATGAGTGCACACGAGGATTGTCGATATGTCTGAGGTGTGAGATTCGACAGAACAGAAAGGGCTTCAATCACAGAGCGTAAGCGGTTTCTCCGACTGAAGCAGGTGTGACGCGCAGGCGCAAATGGTACGAGCCCGCCCCGCAAACTGTGAAGCCAACACCCGAAGCTCCCGCCCCTTTTTCAATCCAAGAGCCCGAAAATTACGGAATTCGCGCCGAAATATCGTCGCTACGCTGTTGTGCAGCTCAGCCCCAAACCTTCGGTGAACGGACAGTGGACAAGGCAGCACTCACACTAGTGCATCTGTGTGTGTGTTGTGTGCATATTAGTGTTTACACAGATAGACTGATCGATACATAGATAGACAGACGGGATAGACGGATGGATAGATGGATAACAGGATTGTCAGATACATCGAGCGACAGACAGAACCTTAGATTGATAGGCAGACAGACAGATGAACAGATCGATCGACAAATAGATCGCTAGTTAGGCTGATTCAGCGGCTGTCTGACTAATTCGTCGTTTTGAGGATGCGGGTACAGTACAGGGTGCACAGTCACGTACGTTTATCTATGCAACTGTGTATCGTCTTGCTGCACGATCTCATGCACCCTGTCTCCCGTCAAACTCTAGCCCTGGTGTTGGCTTTGGCTGTAGGTCTCCTGGATTTGAATTCAGCTCTTGCCCCTGTACACTGACGGCCCTCCGCTGTAGACATCCTAACGAGTATTCCGTTTGGAGTAGTCAGGGCGGAAGCAAGCGCACACCCGGCACAAGACGAGCAGGACGAGCACAGCTTCATACATGTCGCATTCGTGGGTATCACTTCTTCTGATCCACTCTTGAGGCTTCAGCTTATTCCCTGCCTACTTCCTGCCCAAGTTCCAACTTCGAATCCAGTTTACATAGGGGGTCGCAATCCAGCCGTGGTGTCTCAGACTGGGTCGCTGTTTGCGCGAAGAGATGTCCCTGATGGTAACAACTTGACA